CCAGCGGGACGGTGCCGTGCACACGCCCTCCCCATGTGCCGCTGGCTGTGGCCGCTGGTGAGCTCTGCAGGCAGAGACAGCAAGGAACTTGAAACAGAAAAGATGAAAACCTCCTGAAAGTGCCAATTTATTATTCAGCTCCCTCCCCACCTGCTCCCGCTCAGCCCGGAGCTGGTGCCGTGGCTGCCGCTGGCTGCTGAGATGAAAGTCACCGCGTGGGGCAGGCACAGGGGGGTGGCACCCCATTCTCAGTGCCCCATTCCCAGCGCCCCGTCCCCAGAGCTGGTGGGGGCTGCGACCACTGTGTGGGGACCTCGGGCAGGGCCACATCGTCTGGCCCTGGGGCTGTCCCCTGGCTCGGGGTAAGCAGGGTGCCTGGCCCAGGCAGGGTGCTGCCTGCTCCAGCCCCCCGTCGGGCTGTCCCCCCCAATCTGGCTCTTGGGGGTTAACGGCACTGCCTGCCTGAACTCGCCGCAGAGGCCGCTGCTCCATAACAGCTCTAATAGCTCCTATCCATAACCGCCGGCTGCGGGAGACTGAGATGGAGGCGCGGGGGGGCCAGGGCTGGGTGGCGGGGGCTGCCCGCGGGCGGGCGGCAGCCCCAGACCCATGCGGCGGTGTGGCCTGGCTGGCGGCATGGCCACGCATGGCGCGCCGGCTGGCGGCACGGGGAAGGCGGCCTCCCAAAATGGGGGTTTTATTACAGCCATACATCACCATGGCGGCCTGATGCAGGCAGACGGCGGTGATTTTTCTTTGTGGTTTACAGACAAATGAGGGGAAGGAAAATTGATGTGAACTTTGCTATAGCAAGAGGTCGGGCGCAGGCAGAGAGCTGGTTATGGATGAGCCGGGGGCTGCTGGGGCCGCCTGCCCCCGGGCCCCTCCTGGCCCTCTTCTCCGGGCCGGGTGGATGGGAGCACTGGTGGTGGCAGGACCGGGATCATCGCGTCTGCTGTGGGGACTGCGCTGCTGCTCCAGGGGGCTGGCAAGGAAGGGCCTCCGGCTTCCCCGGCCCCCCATTGCCCGCAGCTCGGCCGGACTGGAGCGGGCGGCTGCGCCCATCCCTCGTTGGAGGGGTGCCCGGAGGGATGCTTGGCTGCGCGGGGGGAGGACCACGTGGGCAGGATTATTAATTCCAGTGGATATTCATTAGCGCTGCAAACGCGGTTTGGATGTGCAGCATCGGGCGGGCTGCTGTCACCAGCTTCTGGCGAGATCTCGACTGCTTTCAACCCAATTAAAGTTGCCTCTGAACACCATGGTCCTGCCCAGTATAAGATAACAGTTAATACCCTCAAATAGCAACTATCAGCTTCTCCGTAAGGTCCATAAATATTAATACAATTCTAATTAGTTCCTTTAAATACATTGCCTAAATTAAGCATTTCCTCGGCAATAAATCAGCGGTGGATTGGCACCCTGCTCACGCCCATTAAGCAGATCACGAGCTCTCCCTGCCTGCCCCATGGCCAGTCCTTGCCTGCCAGGGAATGGGACCCGCGGCAGCCCGGGGCTGTGCCGTGCCGTGCCGTGCCCACGCGATGGCTGGCAGTGCCTGGCTGGCGGTGCTCCCACCTCAGGAGTATCAGGCTTTGGGATGGGGGAAGACGGGTGGGTTTTGGGGCTGGAGGAGCCGCGAGCTGTCCCACGCTGTGGGGTGCTGGTGTCCGCCGTGGTGATTTCCCGCTGTGCACGAGGGCTGCCTCAGCCCGTGCCAGGAGCTGCTGCCTGACATGGGTGCTTGGCTCCAGCGGCCCCCTCCTCCCGCGCCAGCGGGGCTGGGGGGCTGAGCTCTGGTCCCTCCTGAGGGGCTGCCCAGTGGGTGGGGGACCCGCAGAGCTGGCAGCGGCGGCAGCAGGGCCGTCCCTGCAGCTCCTTCCGCAGCATGGCATGGCCAGGCCGTTTTTGGGGTAAACCCTGGGGCTTGGCCAACGCTCCGGTGAGCCCCAGCGCCATCTCTGATCCCACGCCCCGAGGAAAGCGGCCGGCGCTGCCAGCAGGATCTTGTCAAGAGACTGCAAGAGCGTGGTTTGAAAGCACCTGATAAAACATCTCCTAAGGACCCCACAGTCACAGATATAAAAATAACCCAACCATTAGATTCAAAAGAGGAAAGGGAGCCCAGGCTTCACTGAACAAGCAGAAAGTGCCCTGTGACCTTAATCAGGAGTAATATTGTTAATACCTTTTTCCCCAGGTGCACCCAGATTTGCATTCCCAGCAATTTGCACAATAATGAGGCAAGCTGACCATGCCTCACCCCGGCAGCAATCACCTCCAAATTGATGGCAGCGTGCCGGCAGGCTGGTCTGAAAGCTCGTTCGCTCCAGCTGCAGTGGTGCTGTGGGTCCCTGTGCTGCTCTGCCCCGGCCGCCCCAGCATGCTGCAGCCCTGACGCCGCCGAGCAGGTAGGACTGGGCACCTTGCGGGGCTGCGCGGCTGCAGGGACCTGCCGGGGGGTGCTGGGGGCTGGTGTGTGCAGGAGCTGTGTGCCCAGGTGAGCCCACTGCTGCCTCCGTGGAGCCTGGCTGGGTGCTCCTGCCCCTTGCCAGCCTTCTCCGGCCTTCATCCCCAGCTCTGAGTCCTCCTCCTTCTCCTGGGAGGTGGCAGCGGTGGCCGTCCTGCTCAGACCTCCCCCTGAGCTGAAGGACATGGGATCCCTTCGAAGGTGCTTGTGTGTGCTGTGCATTGCGTGGGTCAGCGTGCACGGGGCGAGCGAGCGCAGGGTGAGTGCATGCAGGGGCATGCACGGGGTGAGCGAGCGCAGGGGCATGCACGGGGTAAGCGAGCGCAGGGGGAGGGCGCAGGCTGCAGGTCTGAGCAGGGGGTGGACGCGATGTGCATCCTCCCTGGGCTCTGGCAGTGGTGGTACTGGAAAAGAGCAAATACCAAACTAATTTGCTTGAGGAGAAATTAATACGGTGTGAAGCCTGTAGTGAGTGATTTAAGAAGTGAATTTAAAATCTCAACACAAATAGATTTTTTTATAAGGTCAGAAGAAAGATTAAATGCTACAGACAAGCACAGCGCTTGCCATTTCCAGCAGCACTTTTACCAAAAATATTTTAGGCGGGTGCCGTGTCCCTGCGCTGCCCACACGGGTCAGAGCCCACTCGCCCCAGTGGGGTGAGAGCCGCTCCAGGCGTGGTGCAGTGCGGTGCTGGGTGAGCAGGGATGCTCCTAGGGAGGGTCTGACATCTCCCTGTCGCCATCCCTGTCCTCACGCGGCAGCCCAGCTCTCTACTGGCACGCGGGAGCAGCCAGCGATGCTCCCAGCGATGCTCCTCGGGCGTGGAGGGAGGAGAGGAGGTCGTGGGGCTGCGCTGCTGGCAGTGCCGGGGGAACCAGCCCCAGCGCAGGCAGGATCCAGCCCCAGACCCCTCTGGCACTGCCGCCAGCTGCGACAGTGCCCATGGTGCAGGAGGGGGTCACACAGCCCAAGCCGTGGTGCCTGCCCGGTGGGGCGTGCGCCCGCTGCTAGCTGCCAGCTCCTCCTCCCGCCACCCGGCAGTGACCAGGATTGATGGCAAGAGATTTGAAAGGCTCCAAATGTGGAGGTTACACCGCTGAGCCACCCCCATCCATCACGAGATGTTCATTATTAAGTAACACCTTGCACGCCGGGCCGATTTCACACCGTATCTTAACCCAGCAGCTGTGCCCTAAATCCTGAGCGCTACGACTGTCTGGAGGAATTTGGCTGCCTGCGCTTAAAATTAGCGTTAGCATCTATCATTTCCCCACACCAAATGGCTTCTGTGTCGGCACTTGGCAGCGCTCATCCGTCACTGGGGCTCTGGGCTGCCCAGCTCCGTACCCTCTCCGTCACTGTCACAGGACCCCTCGTTGGCAAAATGTCACCCAAAGGACAAGTGCAACAGCTTGGCCTCTCCCTTCCGCCCAGGCCAGCGGCACTGCTGGTGGTGAGGGCATCCTCCATCCCCTCGGGCACTGTGGGCCCCAGCTCCACTCCTGGAGGGGCTGTCCCCGTCCCTCCAGCCCTACCGCAGCCGGGCACGTGGCGTGGGCGCAGCCTGCAGCCCCCCCCCCGCCCCGGGCACGGCCGCCCCTCCCCCCCCCCCGC